TGACGAAAGGAAATTGCAATTTCTGGAGATGAAGGGAGAAACTGAAGTAGCAACCCAGGTTAGGAAACACTAGTGGAGAATGGAGATAGAGAAGTATGTGTAAGAGTCCCAGCATGTGTGCTTGCTGAAAGGGAAATGATAATTTGTACTAACTGGAATCCCTAACTGCAACCAAGAGCTGTTGTCTGGTCATGGGTATTGCCATGGTTTTAATATTAAACCACATTAAAGAATATGATTCAATATTTTACCAGATATTAACTGGGTGCACTTAGATATGACTTACTGTGTAGAGAAGAAAATAAAACAAAGGTTTTTCTTTATATCTTTTTTTTGAGGTAAAAATAATAATACAAATTTCGGTCCAATAGTTTTACAAAAATTTCTTGTTGCCTTTGAGCATGAATAATATTTATGTCCAAACTCTGCAACAAATGAGAGCTTTGTGGCTCATTTAATCATAAGCCCAAAGCTAAATTGTGAACTTATCTTTATGATATAGAAAAATGTTGTTATCAAACTTCTCATTCATTTAATTGATGGCATGCACTCATATATGCTGACTGGAAAACCTAAAATAAATGAAATATAGAAATGTTTTAGGATAGTGTATATAGGGCATTTTTGAGATTGCCCCTTATCACCTAATAATTCTTTCTATAACTTTAAGAATTAGTCATTTTTATGTAACTACTTTTTAAATTAACTATTTTCCCCCCACCTGCATAAAATGGGATTTTACTGCTTTGCATTTAGTAAGCACCCGTGAGTATTTACAGCTTATAGCCCAATCTAACACAGAAAATATATGGCTGAAGCAAGCATGTTATAAAGGTGTTCTAGTTCTCTTGTTTCTATTGCAGATAAAATAGTTCATTAGGACAAGACCAATCACAAAGATTGTTGGACTTTCTTTGTGATAGAATTCACAATTGCATTGTCTTTGTTATTCCATGAACATTATCGTGAAATCTGCTAAACCTTAATCTCCTTGGTTTAACTAGATTGTAGGGATTTACCTTAGTCTATTTTATGTTGCCATAACAAAATACCACAGACTGGGAAATTTACAAGGACCAGACATTTATTGTCTCACTGTTCTAGTGCCTGGAACATCCAATTTTCAGGTACTGGCATCTGATGAGGGTCCTCTTGCTGTATCTCAGTGTGATGGAAGCACTGTGGTAGATTGACAAAAAGCAAATGAGCAAGAGGACCAAGAGCAGGGTGAACACACTTGGGATGATGGTATTCTTGAAAGTGGGGACATCAAGACATATATACCACTTAATGGTTGCACTTACCAGCCTGTCACAATGGTAGTTAAATTTCAACATGAGTCTTAAGGAGAAAATTCAAATGATAGCATCCCACCCCTGGCCGTCCAAAACTCATGTCCTGCTTACACACCATACTCATTCATTCTGCTCCAGTGACACAGAGAGTCTTAACTTGTTTCAGAATCAACTTGAAAGTCCAAAGTTCAGGATCTCATCTAAATCATATATGATGAGACATTATTCTGTCATGATTCATCTTGAAGCAAACTCCTTCTAGCTGTTAGCCTGTAAAATCAAAATAAAATAACTACTTCCAAAATACAATAGTGGGGCAGACACAGGGTGGACATTTCCATTTCAAAAGGAGGAAATAGGTCATAAAAATTGAGTAATTAGACTCTAAAATGTCTAGGACCTAAACAGGACAAACAACATTACATTGTAAGTTTCCAGAATTGTCTTTCGTGCCATGTCCTATCTATATTCTAGACACACTGAGCATGGAATGTGCTCCGAGCCATCCTCACACCCATGACTTTGCTGTACTCAGGTCTCAGGGAAAAAAGTTTTGTGTTTGCATCTCTCCCAAGTTGTCACTGAATGCCGGCAGCTCTGTGGTTGTGAGGGCGCCATGCTTCCACTGGGCCCGATCAGTATGCGTTACAGTTGCCCTGATTCCATAGCCACTTTCTGGATAGTCTCCCAGGCTGTCTCAGGCATCCTTTGAAATCTAAGTGCAGGTGGCCATGTTTCAGTAGTTTGCCAGTTCTGTGCACCCACAGAATTGGCACCATTTGTGTACCAACATGCTAACTAATTATGCCTTTCAGAGCATTGGCTTTAACTGGGTCTTCTTGAGCCACCACTGGGACAGCTGTGAGATGTCGCACTGGAATCAGGGAACAGAGACTTGAAGAGGCCCTCAACAGTGAGCCATTTTTGCCCTCAAGGCGCTCCCTTCCCTCAGCCATCTCTGATATGCCTTCAGGATCATCTGTCCATTGTCTTGAACAGCACCTGGCTTCTTTCTATCCATACTCATCCTCTTACTGAATGGCCAACTGGATGCGCCCTTGCTTTTGTCTCCTAAATATGCTTTTTCATTCTTTACATGGCCAGGCTGAGAATTTTCCATATCTTTCTTAAAAGGGAAGCATAATATAAATTTCATCTTTAAATTGTTTCTCTTTTCTTAAATTTTACCATATATACTTTTTTGAAAAAGTTCATTTATTTGAAATGCAGAGATACATAGAGAGAAGAGGAGGCAGAGAAAGAGGGGGAAGGAAGGGGGAGAGAGAGAGAGAGCTTGCATTTGTTGGTTCACTCCCCAGATGGCCTTAATCGCTGGAGCTGGGCCGATCCAAAGCCAGGATCCAGGAACTTCTTCAAGTTCTCCCATGAGGGTTCAGGGGCCCAAGTACTTGGACCATCTTCCACTGCCTTCCCAGGCAAATTAACAGGGAACTAAATGGAAAGTGGAGCAGCCAAGACTAGAACATGTGCCAATTTGTGATGCCGGCACTGTAGGCGGTGGCTTGACCTTCTGTGCCGTAGCACAGATCCCTATTTTGCCATATACACTTAAAAAAAGCCATAAAGCACCATGAGTGGTTTTCTGCATGATTTTTCTTATACCACAAATCACAGTGGAGCACTATTGAGCTCTGCCTTCCACAAAATTCTTGGGCACATGCACAATTCAGTAAAGTTTTCTGCTATTTTATGATAAACATAGCTTTTAGTCCAGTTTTCAGTAGCATTTTTCTCACTCCTCTGTGGTATCTCAGCAGAATTGCATTTCATCTATATTTCTAAGAGGCTGATGCAACTACTTAAGTAACACTTAAGAAGTTTTAGACTTTTCCTGAAGGTCTCCTATTTTACCTAGCCCTCACCAGAATCACCTTTAATACTTTGTTCAGAGCAATGCAGTTTTTCCAGAATTCATTTAAAAAATGTCCTTGCCGCAGGGCACAGAGGGTCAAGCCACCACCTACGATGCCAGCATCACATATGACCACCAGTTTGAGATCCCACTGCTTTACTTCCACTCCAGCTTCCTGTTAATGCACCTGGTGAAGCAATAAAACATGGCCCAAGTACTCCAAATGCTTAGGCCCCTACCATCCATGTAGGAGGACCAGATGGGGTTCCTGGCTACTAGTTTTGGCCTGGCCCAGTGCCAGCTATTGCAACTCTTTGGGGAGTAAACCAGCAGATGGAAGATACTCTCTTACATCTTAGTGTTTGTGTGTGTGTGTATATATATATAAATCTTAGTGTGTGTACATATACACACACACACAAAGTGCCCTTTGTGCTTTAGTAAAAGTATATTTAAGCATTTCTGCAGGATAACGCTGTTTCATTATTCTTCACAGCATTTGTAAGTCTGAATAGACAATGTGTGTGAGCATATGTGAGTATGGAAGCATTTCTATTAGCAATTCTTATGTGAGCCAGTATTGTCATTTATGAATAACCTCTAAATTTGGAATGCTATATTCTGCTTATATATTGAAAATAGGGTATTACAGTTACTTTCATGTATGTAAAATAATCTGTTTTACAGTATTTGCAACATGAATCTTATGTGATTGCTAGAGATATTTTAAAATGGCATTCTTGAAAGTGATGAATCATTTCAACAGGGTCTTCTGAAAAGCCTTGAGATTTTAGTGCTATGCAGTGTGATTTTTTGCAGATACGTGTGTTCATTGGTATCTGTCTTTCATCACATCTGATAGTTTCAATTTAGGGCCAATTGCAGGCGAGAGTCAGGGCAGCGAGACACGCTCTGCAAAGATTTAGTTCTGCAACCATGACATCCTTTGAAATACACACAGGCCACAGGGTTGCCCTGACTCTTCCTATTTCAAAAAAATAAATGGAAAGGACCCAGTGTGATTCTGATTCTTAGATATCATTATTTCTCAAGAAAGAGACACAAAACTGTAACATCCTAATGCAGAAAGTATAAACAAAGCCCTCTAGGTAACTGTGAAGGGGCAGCAGTAGTGATTCGTTTTTGCAGCTGAAGTGTAAATCCAGATGATGATTCTCCAGAGGGTTATATGGAGGATTTCAAGCAGGTTTGAATAGGACTTTTTAGCTTGAGAATAATGAATTGGGCAGCAGCTGTATTGAGCAGCAGTTGTATTTAAGATGCACAGGTCAAAACTACTTGATAGATAATCAATTTTTCTCCTTTTTATTGTAAAAAACAGTAAGCGAATGATAGGTCTTCAATGAATCAACTTTTCCACATTTTTAACATTTTAGTCCATGTCTATTGAATTGTATAACTCCCTTCTGTTGATCCAGAAAAACATTCTTGGTAAACTACAACAGAACTCAGGCTTCAGAATTCGGTTTGTTTTTTAAACTTGGATTTATTAATATGGTAAGAGAAGATTTCACAATCTTATTTCCACATAATGACTGATAACTTTATTGGATCAGTAGAGATTATGTTTGAAGGTGATTTTAAATAGAGTACAAAGTTCAAATTTGTTTCTTACAATGTCAAAAATGGCCCACCTTGGGAGAGA